ACAGACACCACACATCACTCCTTGACTGATGGCTGTGTTGTGTCAGCCCCCATTTCGAGCGTCTGATGTGGACACTGCTCACCTTCGGCAGCCTGACGACAGGCCGCCAAAGCGGCGGACGATCCACGATGCTCTTCTTCCGGTCGTTTGCTTGAGTGCTGCTGGCCGCCATGCGCAGCGTGGCGCCGACAGACGAGGAGATCGACCTCTTCGTATGCCATCTGTATCAAATGAGATTCGCCGCAATCCAAGAGTGAGTGAATGAATGGGTCTGAGTGTGTGAATGCGTCTGAGTGTGTCATCTCCTGTGTGGATGTGTCTGTCTGTTTGTTTCAGGGCCAACCTGTTCAACGTGTACAACTTGACCCTGCATCAGATCGAGTGCCACGTGTTCTACTTCTTCACAGCATGTCGGCGCGATCCCGTCGGTGCCCCTCCTCTCGGCCAGATGGGCAACATGACAGCACCCGAGGCATCCAACCACGTGGCCAAGGAGGTGGAGCGGCACCACACCACAAAGGGCGGTGGTGGCGCCATCGAGGGGGAGCTCGGGTGGCAGATGATCACTCGAAGCATCGAGAAGGCCCAACTCGCTGCTGTCGACCAACACCACCTCGAGGTGGTCACCTATGGCAGCAACAACGCCACACGCATGCTCCCATCGATCGAGTACGACCACCCACTCCCGGACGTGCCATTCATGGTGCTGAGGCAGGTTGGGGGTCCAAGGAAGGGCGAGCCATTCACAGACGCAGACTGGAGAAACCTGCAGAAGCAAGCAGACAAAGCGATGAAGGAAGGGCAGTTGGAAGTGCCGATAGAACCGAAAAAGCAACAACAGAAGTAGCTGCCTGACGATCATTGTGCATAGTTGTGAAACAGTGACTGACATGTCGATTGGCGCGATGGATTCGTTCATTCATTCATTCAATGCATGTGATTGATTGATTGGTCGGTTCATTCGTTCATTCGTTCATTCATGCATTCATGCATTCATGCATTCATTCATTCATTCAGCTCTGGCCCATTCGTCCACCACTCGCTGAGCTGAATCATTCGATCGATCGGTCCGTGATTCACGCAAACATGTCTATACAGCCCTCCTCCCTGCCCGTTGCAAATTCTCCAATTCTTCATTGCTGTACGCCCCTCCGCCCACACCCATGAAGCCGCGAGCATCGTCATCATCTCCGAGGAAGCCAGCCAGGTCTTGCTCGCCCTCCGGGTCATCACCGTCTTTGTCGCCAAATCCATCCTCGTCGTCACCGGCAGGCTCCTCCTCACCCATGTCGCCCTCCCCGCCCTCCTCATCCATCTCGCCCTCCCCCTCCTCCTTCACAGCGGGCATGTCATCACCACCCTCGCCACCACCCACACCACCACCCACACCACCACCCACATCACCACCCACACCGCCGCCGCCGCCCTGCACCGTGGTGGTCTGGAATGAGAATATGCCCTGGAGAATGGCGTTGGGTCGCGGGCTGAGCGGTCTGATGACGAGGTAGAAGGGCGCATCCTCGGTCGCGACGAGGCGATGCTGACACACATACAAGCGACAATGTCATGGCCATGTGTTGTGTATTGTGTATTGTGTGTTGTGTGGCTGCGTCTATGTGTGTGTGTCAGGCTGACCGTGTTGACGAAACCCGTACGTCCCTTGATGGTCCGGCCGTTCTCACACCGATCGGAGCCGAGCAGCCGCGACACCAGGCTGGTCATCCCCGCCCCTCTGAACGCGAAGACACCCCACAGGGGCGTGTCGGGCACGATCGCGTCATCGCCAAGAACAGCCCGTCGCTGCGGACCGGCTGGCACTCGCCGCATCGTGGTTGGGCTGGTGATCATCTCGATGCGGTCGAAGTGCTCATCTCCGGTTGGACGTGCGATGGGAGGGAATGAGTGGTTGACGAGGAAGTGGAACAGCGATACCGCCGCCCTTCTGCTGCAGATGGCCGTGACCCGTCCCACCTTGCCCGTCGCTCGAATCCCCTCGCGGCACTTGGTCTTGGACAGGACCACCAGGCTGGGCTCCCTGAGGCGCGGACGACCCAGAGCCTTGTGAAGCCCTTCCTCGATCGACACCAACGGCGCGAAGACCTCCTGGTGCAGCCGCAGATTCTCGGTCCCTCCCTCCCACGCACACTTTCCAGCTGAGCAAGCTTGCCCCGCCATCCCATCCCCAGGTGGCCATCGTCTGCCAGAAACGCCGTACGCCGCACCGACAGCTGGTGTCTGCGGCCGCCTGCTGAAGACTCTTTAGCTTGATCACCATACGCTCTGCCTGCTGCAGGACCGGCGGTGTGCGTTGCAAGCGGCTCACGGCCGTCAAGGACGCGCTGGGCGGTGCGGGTGCGCCCAGGAAGGACCTCAGCGTCGTCCGGGAATGGACGCTTGGTCATGCTCGCTGCAGCTGGTGGTGGTGGTGGAGGTGCTGGTGGGTGCGAGAGGGGCGCAGAGGGAGTGATGCAGCTGGTGGTGGGTGTGAGAGGGGGCGGGCTGTGGGGCGTCGAGCAGCGAACGGTACGGCAACAAACAATGAGCTAAATACTGCAGGTAAGGGACAGACAGACAGACAGACAGAAAAAGTAGTGGATGGATGGATGTGTGTGTGGTGTTGGCCTCCCTCTCCCTGTCCCTCCCTCCCTCCCTCTCTCCCTCC